CCCCCCCCCCCCCCCGCAAGACAAAATTACGCCGGCACTGCCAAGCACGTAATATGCAGTCGCGCACGCGCACCTGAGCAACGAGCCTCGTGAGCAGCGCGTAGGAGGCAATGTTGAATGGAACGCCGAGGCCCATGTCCGCGCTGCGCTGGTACATCTGGCAGGACAGCTCCCCCTCGGCCACGTAGAACTGGCAGAACATGTGGCACGGCGGCAGGGCCATCTTGCCGAGGTCCGAGGGGTTCCACGCCGAGAGAACGATTCTTCGGTCCTCGGGGTTAGTCCTTGGAAGACGGGAAATATGGACAGAGGCGATATAGAGCAGGCCGGGGGGGGTGGGGGATGCTCGTTGGAAGGTAGGAGGCATGTTACAGTCCTTTTCAAGTGGCTGCTTAACGGGGCTTTGGTCGAGCAGGCTTTAGCAGGCGGCCCCGGGAGCGAGTAGTATCCTATTCCCTCCGGGCTCCGCCCCACCAACAGTCCCTCGGCACGAAAAACACAGTTTCATCTGTGTACCCGTTTCTATATTTCACATCCCCCCCCCCCACCCCGCCTGCAAAGCAGCCAGAAACCGTCTCCCTTAAGATAACACCCCACGGGCCAACATGGATCGTTGACAAGGTCGACCGCGTCCGGTTCCCTTTAGGTGGCGCGTCTCTAAACCTAATCGCCTCTCTGCCTGTCTGCACTCTTCGCTTGGTAAGTCTCACTTGATCTTCGTTATGCACTCCGCGAGCTGGTCCACTCCCTTCCCCGTGTAGTCAGCGTGCATGTCCGTGTACTCCGCGCCAAAATGCCTCCATTGGAAACCGTACACCGGCCCAAGGTCTCCTTCTTCGCGCTCGGTGAGTCCCAGCCTGCACCCGGTCGGGTGGAGGGAAAGGGGGGGGAAGGAGGGTGCGTGAGAGAGAAAAGCCAAAGGCGTACTTCGGTCGGATGCCGCCATTGGAAGGGGTGTAGTCGAGCGTCCTCCTGGTTTACAACAACCCAGAAACACGACAAACGTTTCGAGTGGCCCCCACATCGTGAGGCCAAACATGTAGCTGGTGTCGCTTTCAACAGCTTAAGTGGGTCCATTGTCTGACTGCTTTGGAGGGGGGGGGGGGGGGGGG